TGACAACCAAACGTATCCAAGAAAATGCAAACACTGGAAATGTGTGTAAACAGAAATTGATAAAAAAAAAAGTACGAAGAAATATTTATAAAAAAATGGTAGAGGGAAAAAAAACGCAAGAAAGCAATAAAACCCCGAAACCCCACACACACACCTCGTTATTTTTTTTTAGTTAAATTCATTAAATATTAGCTTAATAAACTCTATGGCTTCGTCAGCGAATCATAAAAAAATAAACACTGTCGAAAATGGAGAACTTTTCTAGATGGAAGTGGAAAAGTGATTGAGAGTTTCAAATTATAAATCAAATACTTCAAGAAACTAGAGATTACTTTTTTTACTTTGAAAAAAGAAAACTTCGATTCTTTATTGAAAAAAATACTTAAATGTATATCTCAATAAATAAATATAAATATCTGAAATTTATAATAGCGTTTAATATATAGAAATTAGAAAAACAAAGCGTATTCCCACATTCGATCATCAAACAAAAATATCAAATATTTCCGGGAGGTGGCTGACACTTTAGACTTTTCCAATTGATTTTGGAGAACTCTTTCCTATGTCAACGCTTTTTTCTGTATATTTCATTTCAGTCGTTTAATATTTCTTGTTTATGATTGATTTGTGTGCGCTATTAAGATTGCATATCGATATCAATGGCGACGCTAGTCTTAAGAGTCAAAGCCTACCGCCATAAAAAAAAAAAACAAAAAAAAAACGAAAATGTTTGAGGCGCTTGTGTGTGAGGTGCTTCTAGGTTGCTAGGCCTATTTCTAGGGGATCACGCCCCCCGCCACTGTCGCCCCCTCGTAAGTCTATTTCCGATCGGGTTCTTTCTTCGGTCGGATAGTTTTAGTTTTTTTTTTTTGGCCACGATCATGATAAATTGGGTTTTAAGCCTTTGGTTTTTCGGTAGGGGTTTCTGGGTATACGTGTTTTTTTTTGTTCCTATTTTGAGGGGGGTTTGAGGGGTTGACTAGATCAAACAGGTGGAAGTAGTAGTTGTTTGTTTAATTACTTTAATGTTTTTATATATTTTTAAAAATTATTTTGCTGGGCAAGATAATGAGACTTTAGGTTTTTAGGACTTTCTTTATAATTATAGTGCCTTAAATTTTTATAATTTATTTTATTGTCTTTTTATACCCTTGCAGAGGGTATTATAATTTTGTCCAAAAGTGTGCAACGCAGTGAAGGAGACATCTCCGACCCTATAAAGTATATATATTCTTGATCAGGATCACCTCCTGAGTTGATATGAGCATGTCCGTCTGTCCGTCTGTCCGTCTGTCCGTCTGTCTGTCTGTCTGTTTCTACGCGAACTAGTCTCTCAGTTTTAAAGCTATCGACTTGAAACTTTGCACACACCCTTCTTTCCTTTGCACGCAGTATATAAGTCGGAACGGCCCGGATCGGCCGACTATATCCTATAGCTGCCATATAACTGATTGATCGGAAATGGTATAACTTCGGTGTTTTTAGAGTTAGAGAGTTCAAATTTGATATGAGAGCTATTTTTGGCAAAATAATATGACATGCCAAATTTCATAAGGATCGGCCGACTATATCCTATAGCTGCCATATAACTGAACGATCGGAAATGACCCAACTTTCGTGTTTTTGATGATAGAAAGCTGGCACTTGGTACACATTCTATTTTTGGTCAGTTAATCCGACCTACAAAGTTTCATTAGGATCGGTTGACTATATCTTATAGCTGACATATAACTGAACGATCGGAAATGGTATTTGGTAGAAATATTAAATTTCGTATTTTTGAAGATAGAAGCTTGGGACTTTTTTTTAGATTTTTTATTGTAATTAATTGGTTTTATTATGATGTAATCATAAGGATCGGCCAACTATATCCGATGTTTGCGCTATATATTCGGTTTTAGCTGCAAGGGTATATCAACTTCGGCTCCGCACGAAGTTAGCTTTGCTTTCTTGTTTTATTATTATTTTAGAAGCCTTTTATTAGAAGATGACTTTTTTAATAAAATAATTTAATTATATAGTTTTCTCAATTATTTAAGTAAGTAAACGACTTATCTTTAACTTTATTCAAAATTATCATTTCTCTCGTATATATCTCTCTTTTTTTTTTTTGTTTTAATTTTTTAATAAACCCAAATCCGTATGAAATAATGGAAAATTCCCACTAATTTCATCTTGAGATAAGTTTAATCATACAATGATGTAAAATTAATGTTAAATGTGAAACTTAAATACTTAGTTCTATACTTCCTCCGACATTTTTGGGGCATGTGATTATAAGAAATCATACGCGTGAGTGTCGAGTGTAGGGTGGGGTGTTGGATGCCTATACCCCCCGAACTATGTACATATATATATACACACAAGGGTTCCATCATAGCTATAAGTCCCTAATCTAATCTATGGTACGCATAATCGTGCAATTCTATGGCCGTGCTTGACCTCGCCTCGGTTTAAACTATCGTTGAAAATGTAATAAAAATCATAAAAAATTAAAAGTACCCCAGGAATACATATTTATTTATATACTATGTATATGTATGTATGCCTCTATGTAGTTTCGTTTAAAAATGGATTCATTGAACTGCTGGTAAATTCCCTTGAGGGGACGGCAGATAACATTATACTACACTATAGTTCCAAGTTCTTGATTAATTTTACGACTTTTGCCAGTCAAATGTCAAGGCGTATTATTAGAGGCGTGGATGTCTGAAGATCCAGCATTCGAGTCATTTGGGGCAGACTTTTTCTTAATAGTATATTGCTTTTAAATGGATTTTTTTTTTAAGAAATCAAATGTGGGCTTTTATTTTTAAATAAGTTACAAATTAAAATTCAAAGAATATTAATAATCTTAAAATAGGTCTTTGAAAGTAAACTTTTTAAATTCTTGGAACCATTATCACTTGCAAAAAACAAATTAAATATCAAATTTATATTTAAAATAATTCCAAATATGGTTTAAATTCCATTTCCTTATTAAATTAAGACTTATCTTATGAATAAAAACCTACATAACTTCAACTAAAACCTAAACTTTTTAAAATAAAATTAATTCTTTAATAAAAAAAAAAAGATAAAAGTGCGTGGTACTGCCCAGACTGTCACGAAATATTTCAGTTTCAATTGCGATAAAAGCATGAATCAGAAGCTAAAATTATATATGTACATATATAGTCCGATAACCAGATAGTTCATGAATAATACCATTTGAATAATTCTTCTTTTTTTCCTTCACGTTTCCATTCAGTCCAGTTTAGCACGCGCAAAGCGTTCGAAATTATTTAAGAGTGAAGGAGAGAAATACCAGAAATGCCGAGAAAATTCCAAATTGCTAAACGACACTAATCTAAGTTTTATTTAAATGACGAAACCCCCTCTGCTCATCTTCCAAAAAAACCAAAGACAGGCAAAAGTCGGAGCATAAAATGAAGATTGGATGTTGAATTTTTTATACATTTTGTTTTTTATGGGCCGAGTTTGGAGAAGGGGGATGACTGTGTACCTGTTGCCAAGAAGTCGGCCTATGCAGGGGAATATACATACACTGTAAGAAACTTTTGGTTTTTACAAGAAATCAAATATTTTAATTATTTAAAGGTTTTAAAGATTCTAAAGAAACCATTTTGGATAAAAATCGCCTAAAAAATGTTTTTTTTTCTAAAATTCTTAAAAGTTATATTCAAAAATTTATAAAATACTTCATCTTTAAAATCGTTAGTCGCTTTCTTTAATCTTTATATATTTTTTTAAAATTTTTCTCTCACTGCTAGTCTATGATATCTATGATATGCCAGCTACTATCCCCCGAAAAGTCTTTGCATCTATTAGAATGTTTCATTAGGCGACCTTAAGCGGCCTCTTTTTTTTTCTCTCCCTTAGTTATAGTTTTTGTTTCTTTATTTTATTGTTGTTCTTGTTTTTGTTATTGTTTCTATTTCTTTTCAATATCTTGGTTGAGGTATTCTTGCTGTTGTTGTTGGCGGTGTGGTACCTGTTCTTCGATCCGAACCGATCCGATCGGATCCGAAAATCTGGTGTTCAAACAGAATTTAGCCGACAATTAATACGAGGCTTGGGGTTCGTTGTCGTCTTTGTTTTATTTTATTTATTTATTTATTATTATTATTATTTTTTTTTTTTTGTTATTTTATTTGGTGGCTCGTTTTGTTTCGGGTTTGCAGGTTTCGTTTCATTATAAGCGTTATGCTTGGGCATCTTTTAGATACAATATCTTAAAGTTTGTCTTCTTCATCTTCTCTCTTGTTTCTGTGTTTTAGTATTTTAGCGTTTTTTCTCGTTTTTTTTTTTTTTTGTGTATAAATTTAATGAATGAGTTAATTCCTCATTTCGTAGAACTGCCAATAATAATATTTAGTAGCCACACAGATACAGATACGAAAAAAGCTACGCAAAAGATCATTGAACTGCGCGTTTATCTTCACCTGTTCTCCACCAACAAAAAAGCAAAAAACTACAACAAAATTTTGTAAATTAAAACAAAAACGAAACCTAATTAAGAGGATTTTGTGTTCTCAATTTGGCGGCCATAAATGCCAATTTTTGTTGTGTATTTATAACACATATGCCGACATTATTTCAAATAGACTTCACCTTATAATACATGTTTGATCCAAAAAAAATTTCCATGACTGCATTTTCGGTTTCTTTGCCTTTTGCTTTTTCTAAATATTTATATTCGAAAACGCATCTAACATGCATTTTTCAGTTTCAGTTTGGGAACATAGCCAGCTGATTTTGGTTGGCAAGGTTGTTTCAGTTCTATTTGGGTTTTTGGACTTTTAGCTTGTGGAATCCAGATGCCAAGTTTTATTTACAGATTTATTGTAATGACGAGACTCTTTTTTCAAGGGGATTTTCGGGGTTAACATTTGTATAATTAGGATATTTAAAATTAAACAAGAAAATAAAATTTGAAAAATACTATAAACCTTTTACTTTAAATAAAATATTTTTATTTATTTCCATATTTTTTTCAGTCCGTTGTGGAACCAACTCTTAAATCTATTTCTGTCTAATAAGCAAAACTATAAGCTGAAGTTTCTGGGGCCCTCAACTTGAAGTGACAAACTACTTAGGATTTGCAAAAAAAAAAAAAATCCCGATGTCATTCCCCTACAAGTATATAACTACATACATACCTACATATGTATATATAGAAAATATGGTGAGTTTGTATACTTAAATCTTCGGCTCATGGTGTCTAATATTTGGCCAGTCATTGCCAAGATTTTTCGATCATTTAACAGCAACTAATTATGAAGCAACCGTAATGTTTGCTCTCAAACAAACTAGACAAGAAAATTAAAAAAAAACAGACTGCATATATTTAAGATTTATAATTTTTTTTTTATGTAGTTTCTAGTTTTTTTTTTTTTGAAGGTTAGCTTTGTTTGAAAATAACGAGTCTTTCAAAAGCGTTTGGTTTTTTACGATCATAGTTGAAATTGTTTGAAAAGAAGTTAATAGTCTGGCTGGGGTCTTAAAAAATATGCCTACTGTTTTATGGCTCTTGATTGGTTTTGTTTTATAGAGATAAATAGGAAGTTTAATAAAAAAATTTTACATTTAAACATAAATAAATAGGTTCATGATAAAGTTCTCTTAGAGTTTTTATCAAATTTTTGGTGAATAAAGTTCTATTGGTACTTAGAGAAGAATGAACTAATATATAATCTTAAAAGAAAAAACCCATAATTCCTTATATGTCACTATAATGTCACTATAAGTTGCCTTTTATCCCGCGGATATTAGTAATATCCGGTCTTCAAATGTTTCTTATATTTTGTATACATTTATTTTTTTATTTCAAGAATGCAACTTGAATTCTTAAAAAGCCAAAATCCCAAAGGAATCGATATTTTTTAGGAAGCTTGCATTTAGCTTGCAATAATTCCTTAGGGAAGGCTTTATCGATAAGACCCCAAGGGAGAATATATATATATAGTGTAAAAAAAGGAGAAAAACAAACAAGGGTTCGTAACCCCGATTTCCGATTTCCAATGACCACCCTCCACAGAAGACCCCTACATATGTACGTTTTTATATATAATTTTTTTTTTTGCGCGAGGGTCACCCTCTGCGGTCGCCAAAGTCTGTTATCCATTCAAAGCAGTCGTTTCCGTTCATATTTGCAATTACAATTAAAAAGTACAGAGAACCAAAGTCCCTTAAAGCTATGGAATCGGAAATACTCTATTTTCGGGAGGGCTTTACTTTTGGGTCTCGAGATTACAAACTGAATTCAACCCAACTCTTAATGGGTTTTAGGAAAAGAATTTTGATAAGTTATGAATTAGTTTCCATATCTAAACTATGGGGGATTACTAAAAGAATTTATTAGATTATTTAATTTTTTTTATGTTATAAGATATAGTTTCCTATTTTAAACTATTCAACCCTTCAAAGGCATAGTTAATACTTTAAAGTATAAGTTCCTTGTCTAGTTTTTATTTTATTTATAAATTTAATTATTTAAAAAAAATCTCAAGACCCTTTTTTAGAGTATTACTCCACTCGATAGCCGAGTGTTGGGTTCTCAGCTTGAGAAGCCGAAGAAAAATAAATACTAAAAGTACAACAAAGCCAGCCCACACAGAGCCGAGCCGGGCCACCACTCATTGGGGCTTCTCATTTGGATTACCATTTGAGTTCTCATTCTGATTCTCATTCGCGTTCTCAGGGCCTGTCAATGTCAAAGGTCAAAGTCTGGATTAATCATCAATCAAAGAGTTGCAAATAAACAACCAAGTGACTAAAACCCAAAGACGTTCTCAGGCCACAAATTAATCGACCAAAAAAAAAACATTGTCCCATAGAGTTTTATTTTATTTTTTTTTTAGTAAATATTAGATAAAAAAATGTTATGATTTTTTGCGGTTTTATAATAGATGTAGAATGTGAAATGATGACAATATTTGTTGTGCTATTATTCTTGGGTATAATATTGTTTTAAAATGTAAATTTAAATTATTTTAACTTTTCTAAATAATTTGAATAATATTACAACATCCTTGAGAGATAGTTTTGCATATTTCTTGAAAAAATAAGGTATTTGAGAGTAATTTCATGACTTTTGTTGCTGGTTGTTGTTGCAGCTTGTTTATGTTGCAAGCTGTAGTTGTTGTTGTATTTGTCGTGGCTGGATGGTTGGTGGTGATGTTGCTGCTGCTTTCGCACATAATTGAAAGGAGTGAAGTGTTGTACGTGCGCCACATGCTTGCCATATGCCAAGGAAGCCCGGAGACCAATTTATTTCGAAAAACAAAAATGCAGGTCACGAAATGTTTAACCCGAAAGCCAGAAAACACCGCACACACAACAAAAATGGGAAAATGTGAAAAAGGCAAACATGCATCCCAAAAGAAAGTCAAACATTCCGTCCTTCATTCATTCATTTAGTCATTCGGCCATTCAGTCATTTAGTCAGTTGGAAAGATTCGCCATAGGGGCTTTCGGCAAATATCCCTATACTATATTTTTCACTTTTTTTTTCGTTTTTGTTTTGGGTATGTTTTTGGGAAGTAACCCCTGGGATTCGTCCTCGCTATCCCTCTTCATAATTTTTTTCATTTTGGCCATCCCGCATTTTTGGAAAAACGCTGGTGTTGGCTATTTATTCGTTTTGGTTGTTGTTGTTTTCGTTTAAATGGACCAACATTGGCCAGGAGTTGTCTAGGGGTAGCTACAGTGTGTTTCGAAATTATATGTTGGATTGTTGCTTTGTTTAAAAAAAGGATAATAAGAAAAATTTATTTATTAAGAGTTTAAAATAAGATTTAGTTACTATTTTGTAGTTTTTTTTAGTATTTAGTTTATATTATCTTATGTTTATTTTATTTTTTTGGCTAAAATTATTACCTCGACTAATTAGTTTCTCAGTTTAAATACTGATACCCGGTACTTTTATTAAACATTTTCAATAGGAATTAAGTAGTAGTAGAAATAAGTAGTAGTGTTTAATTTAAGGCTAATATTCTATAATTTGATAGCAAGTTTAAAATTAAAAAAAAAAAAAAATAATTGAATTAATAATTAAGGTAATATAAGATACTTAATTTTAGTATTTATATAGAAACAATAATATTATTCATTACTTATTCTTATTATTACTTATTATTACCATAATTATTATTGTTATTATTTTATATTATTTTCTGTAAAGGAATGTATGTTATTATTAATATAGAAAGTATTTTTAGTAGCCTCTTCCTTTCCTTTCTCTTTTTTTACCCTCCCCCAAATTAAACTCATTATGCTTATGGCTCGCAGTGTACTCCCTGAATTGCATAATTACCCTAATGGATGCAGTTGGGCCTTTCCGTAGCCCTCCTCGCTCTCTCCCGCCAGCCCCCCTGGCTGATAGTTTTTATGAATCGTAAAATTCTTGTTATGCTGCAATTTACGTTTGTTTCTGATACGACTATTTTACGAGTTTTTAATTTTAACACGCAAAGGGAATATAACTCGCACATAAATTCTGTGTTGGGAAATATATCGCCTGATTGCCACTTAATTGGCGAAAATACTTCCCTTAAAATGCTTATTTGTACTTTAATTTTTATACATTTATTTTTATTTTTATTTTTTGTTTTTGGCTAATTATTCAAAGTGGAAAGATCCACCATTCCCCCAAGACATCAAGAGGTCTTTGACCCGCAAAGGAATTAGTCAAAAAATAAATGGATTGACAAGCGAAATGAAAGCGAAAATGGAAACTATATATAATATCTATAACTATACGGCGCAACGCCCACTCTTTTTGGCCTTTTTGGCAGTTTTGGCCGTCTTCTTACCAACAGTTCATCCATCAACACACTGGCGAAAGGGAGAGTCGTGCCAAGTATTGTCAAATGCGGCTAAAGATACTCGAAAGTATCTGTATCTCAGTGTCTCGGTACATTAACTGACAGCACAAAAGATACTTCTGCTTTGGGAAAGGTTTTCCGACAAAAAAAAAGTTTAAGGGCAAAAAGTAAAACGATAAATAGATATATTTTTTTTTAAGTTTTGAAACTATAATGAATTAAGTCTTTAGATTATTTTTTTTCTTAGTTTTGAAGTCTTGTAAATTATATAGTTAATATTTAGTGTTTCTTAAAGTAACTTTAAGAGCAATTTAATGAATAACTTTGTTTTAATTTCGAAAATGTAATTTATATTTATTTTTTCTTACAAAAATATAGTACAGAATGTAAAATCTGATAAGACACTTCCCAAAACCACTTTATTCATGGATCATTTAACTTATTGCTTATCGATTTGTTTTCCCAATTTCTTTCCTGGCGGCACTCTGCTTTAGTTTATTTTGGCCTGGTTAGCAATCAGTTGATTTTTGTGTCACACACACACACACACTCAAGAGAAGTGGAGGAGAAAAAAAAATTGGAAAATCCAACAAAAACAAAATGATATAAAGAAACCAAAACCAAGGGCCGGGAAAATGATAAAAAGGCATTTTTTACGTGGGTCTGATTGTATAAGTATGGTGTGTACGAGTTCTACCCCAACCCCCACCCTTTTTTTTTTAGCCCCAAGACTTTTTAGCTTTTTTTTTTTCAATATTTCAATAATTTGCCGCAACAGGTTCAATGACTTGTGACTGCGACACTTTTTTTTTTCCTTCCTCTGACTGCTTCTTGTGCTTGGCAATGTACGGTAAATTTAATCATCATTATCACTATCGCCAAAGGTAAACGGGGGGGAAGGCAGGGGAGAGGCGAACCAGAGTGGTAGGGGGCGGGGTTAGAGGTGGGAGGGCGGGTTGACAAGTTTGGGCCATTGTCATTGCCAGTTTGCCACAGCACATCACTCAATTAACAAAAGCAGCCACGGCGACAGGCAACAGCGGAAAAAAAAAATAAAAAAAAAAACCACACACTCATAATGTATCTCTCAGATACATTCTATAAATGCCACCCAAGCCCAACGCAGGTTCTACCGAAAAAAAATAAACTAATAAAAAAAAAGACAGACACTACACTATACTTACCAACGCAACGACGAAAAAAAAAAGAAAGTCTGAACTGCGCCCCTCTAGGGGCAGCTTTATGTACATACATATATAAGTACGAGGGGGGCACATATAGAAAATATAGAAAGGGGAGGTCAAGTTACAAGTCGGCCCACAAAGATCAACGTGCTAATGACCGACAATTGCAACAGAGTTTGTCTTCTGGCTTTTATTTATTTTTTATTTAGTTTATGAGGCAGTTGCCAAGGCAAAGAATTTTGAAAGAAAATTAATATGTGCTGGGAAAGATGAACTAGTTTAATGAACTTTAAGATCCAAATCTTTAGATACAAATTTATTCAAACATTTTTTTCTTTTTTCATTTTTTCCTCAGTGTATGCAGATGCGGCAAAAGATTACAGCAGCTTAGGTTGGTCATCTTGTAAGGCTCACAGCCTCGGATCTCCCGCCGCTCCTTGACTGCCATCTCTTTCGTACGCAATACCGGCATCTCTTTCGCCTGCCATCCATGTGGGCTAATTACGATCACACTTGGCTGAACCGCTGACCGCAGTTTTGGACCTGGAACAGCGATTTCGAATGGGATTTGTATGGCGATTGGGTTTTCTCGATGTCGCCGGTTTGTTGTAACACCTTCGGGCCGCAAAAGACAACAAATTGAAAAAAAAAAGAAAAAAATTCCAGTTGTTGACAACTTAAGTAAGGCGACACCCCAGGTAGATGATGTTCAGGTACTCAGGATCTCCGCACATTTAAAACTCATCCTTTTCACATTTGTGCGGTTGCAAAATACACAAAAACAGAGGACACTACGAGAAAATGAAGTGGATTCTTGGTAAGAATTTTCTCATAATTTAAATAAACAAAAGAAATAAAATAATAGTGAGGTAACTTTTGGCTAAATAATTAAAGTTATAAACATTTTATTTTATTTCTTAAGTTAATATAAATTAACATTTAATTTTTTTTTTGAGTGTCTTATACGCTGATATGATCGATCTGTTGCTGTTGAGTTTTTTGATCGATTGTCCCCCCTCCTCTGGTTTTGAAGTGAAAACTCTCACTCTTCAGTCCTCTCGGGGGTTTCGCCCATCATTCTACCATCTTGACTCGTGTCTTGCCAAACAAGCCGGCTATTTGTTTTCGTTTTAGCCCACTCGAAACAGCTGTCGAAAAAGCAAAAAAAAAAAACAGGAAAATACATAAAACAGTATAAGAATAGAACTAATCGGGACTCAAGTAGAGAAAGGTGGTAAATTCAAGGGGGAAAAACACACCCCAAAGTGGCATTGGATTAGAAATCCCTCACAGCTTGTGGTTACTAAGACCCGAGGATTACCAGAGTGCTCTTTTTCCCCGATTTGGGAAAACAAATCAAATTGGAACATTATTTCCCAACATCTTGATTAGCCTGTTTTGTTCAAAGTCAAGGAAGATAATGAGGATAAGTCCTGGCAGAAGTTTTAATGATCGAGTAACAGGGGAAGATGGATTTTTATCTTAATTTGATAACATGAGAAATGTCAATATTATCGTGGTTAATACATTTTATGGCAATAGTTTATATATATTTATAATTAAATTTTTTCAACGAAAATTCACAATTCACCATTAAATTATTTTAATATAACTAAGGAATGTTTATTATTTTTTGTACCTAAAAAATTTTGGCCAATTAGTTGAAATATTGCGTGTGCCAATCCCATTTTAAACAATTGTCGGGATTTATATTACGACTGTTTTCACCAACAACTAATTTTTTTTTTTTGTTTTTTGAAAACTTTACTTCATAAAAAATGATTATGATTGGGGCAATCGATCGCCGACAATGACCTCTTTGTTGTGGAGCGGTGGATGGTGGCCAAAAGCGATGGTTAACTAGTAGCCATCTGGAGCAGGACACACGCATGTGTTGACCAAAAGTTATTTTGGCCAGTTTCAAGCACCAGGAACCTTCATAATTTAAGTGCACGAAACGAAAGGAAACGAGACGAGACGAACCTACATCCAATAAACGTCAATCGGTTTTGGGGCCGAAACCAAGCCAATCATGGCCCAAAGAACTCGTTTTCACTGGCCAAAAGGCGACAGATGTTGATGTTTTTTCTTATGGTACTTGAATTGGAGTAATTTCCAAATGCCAGGGCATTCTGTACTCCCTGAAAATTCTTTTTAAGGTGGGCTCTAAAAGCATTGTATCATTTTATACTCGTATACATGAATTAACCAATTGGCTATTGACCTTTCTAAATTGTAGTTGTGAAACCGATTAGATCAGCATAGTACACTTAAATCCTTTTCTCTTTTGATCAGACACTTAAATCCTTTACTATCTTTTAATTATGCATATACTTACAGCACTGCGAACTGACTTTCTTCCAAGGGAATCTAATTAAAGAAATAATGCTGCAGCAACAGAACATGCCACAAACCATTACCATTTCGGCTTTTAGTTAGAGATATTATCATAGCAAATTGGAGTAGCTCATTATCGGGTGAGTCTATGTCTAAGGGACAATTTCAAAATTTTGGTGTGCTAATATGGTATTTGATTATATCTTTCCCAGGTGATTGAGGTGCAGCTGGATGCTGAAAATCGATTTAGGGCGATCAATGCTCGCATCGCGCGATCGATTTAGGGCGATCGCATCGCGCACAACGGAAGAACAATTGAAACCATCCAGACATATAAATACCTCTAATATTCTTGTATATTTACTCTTGTGTATTGTAATATGTATTCTTGTGTATTCTTTCACCTGTGCAATAAATAGCGATAATTTGTGTGTGTTTATTTATGGTAAAAGCTAAGAAAAAAAAGAAAGCATTGGAAGCGTTAAAAAATGGCTCTAAAGTCCAGTTTTTCGCCGATCTGGCGATCCTGGAAATTTTCCGATAGCCTATGGGACGCCGATTCCGAAAGTGCCAAGCGTTGCCAGATCGGACCACAATTCGCCAAGATATGGCCTCTAGAAAGTCCAGATTTTTCCCCGATCTGGCAACACCGCACGATTTTGCATTGATCGCTTTCTTAGATTTCTACGAGTCTTTTAAGACATCATTCGTTCAAATCGGACAGTAAATGGCAGAGATACTAATTTAAAAAAAAAATGATTTCGGCCCAGCGACTTTCTATTTATACTTTTCCGACGCTTGAACCGGTTGCGAATTATAAAACTGCGGGTGCATCACCTTTTTTTTTAGATTTTTTCTGTGAACGTAGTCTCCGATTTTGACAAAAGTTGTGTGTAGACTTTGGGACGCTGACTTCGAAAATCCCAAGCGTTGCCAGATCGGGCGTCAAACGGCCGAGATACGGGCTCTAGAAAGCTCAATTCTGGCCCGATCTGGCAACCCTGCGCATTTTCGGAATCAGCGCTCGATTGTCCATCGAACTGCATACCACGTTTTTCGATATCGAACAACTCATTTTCGACCGTTTTTTCGCAAAAATGGAAAGGCTAACCATCACGATTTTTTCCGATTTTTGCCGAAAAATTTTTTGTTCGATTTCGACGAAATTGGTATGCAGTTCGATAGACTTTGGGACGCAGATTCCGAAAACGCCAAGCGTTGCCAGATCGGTCCACAAACGGCCGAGATATGGGCTCTAGAATCTCTGTTTCTGGCCCGATCTGGCAACCCTGCACATTTTCGGAATCAGCACTCCATTGTCCATCGAACTGCATACCACGTTTTTCGATATCGAACAACTCATTTTCGACCGTTTTTTCGAAAAAATGGAAAGGCTAACCATCACGATTTTTTCCGATTTTTGTCGAAAAACTTTTTGTTTGATTTCGACAAAATTGGTATGCAGTTCGATAGACTTTGGGGCGCTGATTTCGAAAACGCCAAGCGTTGCCAGATCGGACGTTAAACAGCCGAGATACGGGCTCTAGAAAGCTCAATTCTGGCCCGATCTGGCAGCCTTGCACATTTTCGGAATCAGCGCTCGATTGTCCATCGAACTGCATACCACGTTTTTCGATATCGAACAACTCATTTTCGACCGTTTTTTCGAAAAAATGGAAAGGCTAACCATCACGATTTTTTCCGATTTTTGCCGAAAAATTTTTTGTTCGATTTCGACGAAATTGGTATGCAGTTCGATAGACTTTGGAACGCTGATTCCGAAAATGCCAAGCGTTGCCAGATCGGACGTCAAACGGCCGAGATACGGGCTCTAGAAAGCTCAATTCTGGCCCGATCTGGCAACCTTGCACATTTTCGGAATCAGCACTCCATTGTCCATCGAACTGCATACCACGTTTTTCGATATCGAACAACTCATTTTCGACCGTTTTTTCGAAAAAATGGAAAGGCTAACCATCACGATTTTTTCCGATTTTTGCCGAAAAATTTTTTGTTCGATTTCGACGAAATTGGTATGCAGTTCGATAGACTTTGGGACGCTGATTCCGAAAATGCTAAGCGTTGCCAGATCGGGCCACAAACAGCCGAGATACGGGCTCTAGAAAGCTCAATTCTGGCCCGATCTGGCAACACTGGACATTTTCGGCATCAGCGTATCGATGTTAGTCGAACTGCATACCAATTTTTTCGCAATCGAATAAAAATTTTTCAGCAAAAATCGAATAAAAAAGTGATGAAAGCCTTGCGGCGTTGCCAGATCGGGCCATCGAATTTTTCGATTTTCGCCGAAAAACTTTTTGTTTGATTTCGACAAAATTGGTATGCAGTTCGATAGACTTTGGGGCGCTGATTTCGAAAACGCCAAGCGTTGCCAGATCGGACGTTAAACAGCCGAGATACGGGCTCTAGAAAGCTCAATTCTGGCCCGATCTGGCAGCCTTGCACATTTTCGGAATCAGCACTCCATTGTACATCGAACTGCATACCACGTTTTTCGATATCGAACAACTCATTTTCGACCGTTTTTTCGAAAAAATGGAAAGGCTAACCATCACGATTTTTTCCGATTTTTGCCGAAAAATTTTTGTTCGATTTCGACGAAATTGGTATGCAGTTCGATAGACTTTGGAACGCTGATTCCGAAAATGCCAAGCGTTGCCAGATCGGACGTCAAACGGCCGAGATACGGGCTCTAGAAAGCTCAATTCTGGCCCGATCTGGCAACCTTGCACATTTTCGGAATCAGCACTCCATTGTCCATCGAACTGCATACCACGTTTTTCGATATCGAACAACTCATTTTCGACCGTTTTTCGAAAAAATGGAAAGGCTAACCATCACGATTTTTTCCGATTTTTGCCGAAAAATTTTTTGTTCGATTTCGACGAAATTGGTATGCAGTTCGATAGACTTTGGGACGCTGATTCCGAAAATGCTAAGCGTTGCCAGATCGGGCCACAAACAGCCGAGATACGGGCTCTAGAAAGCTCAATTCTGGCCCGATCTGGCAACACTGGACATTTTCGGCATCAGCGTATCGATGTTAGTCGAACTGCATACCAATTTTTTCGCAATCGAATAAAAAATTTTTCAGCAAAAATCGAATAAAAAAGTGATGAAAGCCTTGCGGCGTTGCCAGATCGGGCCATCGAATTTTTCGATTTTCGCCGAAAAACTTTTTGTTTGATTTCGACAAAATTGGTATGCAGTTCGATAGACTTTGGGGCGCTGATTTCGAAAACGCCAAGCGTTGCCAGATCGGACGTTAAACAGCCGAGATACGGGCTCTAGAAAGCTCAATTCTGGCCCGATCTGGCAGCCTTGCACATTTTCGGAATCAGCACTCCATTGTCCATCGAACTGCATACCACGTTTTTCGATATCGAACAACTCATTTTCGACCGTTTTTTCGAAAAAATGGAAAGGCTAACCATCACGATTTTTTCCGATTTTTGCCGAAAAATTTTTTGTTCGATTTCGACGAAATTGGTATGCAGTTCGATAGACTTTGGAACGCTGATTCCGAAAATGCCAAGCGTTGCCAGATCGGACGTCAAACGGCCGAGATACGGGCTCTAGAAAGCTCAATTCTGGCCCGATCTGGCAACCTTGCACATTTTCGGAATCAGCACTCCATTGTCCATCGAACTGCATACCACGTTTTTCGATATCGAACAACTCATTTTCGACCGTTTTTTCGAAAAAATGGAAAGGCTAACCATCACGATTTTTTCCGATTTTTGCCGAAAAATTTTTTGTTCGATTTCGACGAAATTGGTATGCAGTTCGATAGACTTTGGGACGCAGATTCCGAAAACGCCAAGCGTTGCCAGATCGGTCCACAAACGGCCGAGATATGGGCTCTAGAATCTCTGTTTCTGGCCCGATCTGGCAACCCTGCACATTTTCGGAATCAGCACTCCATTGTCCATCGAACTGCATACCACGTTTTTCGATATCGAACAACTCATTTTCGACCGTTTTTTCGAAAAAATGGAAAGGCTAACCATCACGATTTTTTCCGATTTTTGTCGAAAAACTTTTTGTTTGATTTCGACAAAATTGGTATGCAGTTCGATAGACTTTGGGGCGCTGATTTCGAAAACGCCAAGCGTTGCCAGATCGGACGTTAAACAGCCGAGATACGGGCTCTAGAAAGCTCAATTCTGGCCCGATCTGGCAGCCTTGCACATTTTCGGAATCAGCACTCCATTGTCCATCGAACTGCATACCACGTTTTTCGATATCGAACAACTCATTTTCGACCGTTTTTTCGAAAAAATGGAAAGGCTAACCATCACGATTTTTTCCGATTTTTGCCGAAAAATTTTTTGTTCGATTTCGACGAAATTGGTATGCAGTTCGATAGACTTTGGGACGCTGATTTCGAAAACGCCAAGCGTTGCCAGATCGGACGTTAAACAGCCGAGATACGGGCTCTAGAAAGCTCAATTCTGCCCTGATCTGGCAACACTGGACATTTTCGGAATCAGCGTATCGATGTTAGTCGAACTGCATACCAATTTTTTCGAAATCGAATAAAAAACTGATGAAAGCCTTGCGGCGTTGCCAGATCGGGCCATCGAATTTTTCGATTTTGCCGAAAAATTTTTTGTTCGATTTCGACGAAATTGGTATGCAGTTCGATAGACTTTGGGACGCTGATTTCGAAAACGCCAAGCGTTGCCAGATCGGACGTCAAACGGCTGAGATATGGGCTCTAGAATCTCTATTTCTGGCCCGATCTGGCAACCCTGCACATTTTCGGAATCAGCACTCCATTGCCCATCGAACTGCACACCACGTTTTTCGATATCAAGCTACTAATTTTCGACACCCTATTAAAAACATTTGAAGGTAGTCAAATATTTAATTTTTGCGAAATCTAATTCTGTTACCCCTTTCCAAATAATACACAAATAAAAATATTTTTTTTATTTAATTGAAGAATGACTAGACTACAAATACTATTTACAATCTTTAAAGAAATCTAGAAATTTAGTTGATATAGAATTTTAATTTAATTGATATAATTTTAATTGATATAGAATAAAGGTATTTTAAACAGCATAAATCTCTCCAATGGTAGTGACCATACCATAAACAATGATGCATAACTGATCGTCTTTGGGTTGAGGCCGATTATTGGGTGAATAAGATTGGATCAACTTTCGACGTTCTGATTCCGGCTGCAACTCGTTTTCCTAGATTAAAAAACCATGTTAGTCCAACACATTATTTTATACGTCTTTTGGAGATATTTACTCACTATGGCGGTAGCTCCAGCCTTAAGATGTCATTAGGCGAGATCAGGCTACGGTAAAAATACAGCGTCCTGATCAAAGGAAAGATTTTTGACGGCCGCCTTCTGTTGGAAGAAAATTAGTTAATTAGGCAGTAAATATGTATATGTAATG